TATATATATATATATTGCCGCACACACACTTATCATATCTAAAAAATTATATTTATGGATTTAGCAACCAAAAACAAATAATAGACATAGGAATAGCAATTTATTCTCGCACATTACCTTCTCTGCTTAGTTTTACTCGTGAACGCCAAACCCCCACAACTCCATTAATTTTCATCACAAACGACCTATCTTGCTGTACACATGGCTAAAGAAGTTCTCTTGCCCTAACTTACTATGCATATGACTGAAGAATTCTCCCTTGTGCTAACTTGCTCTCCACATTGAGGAACTCACGTGGTGTTTTCAGACATATAGACATGAGGTATTTTAATTGCTTAAGCTTAATTTATAATACATTTGCTTTTAGCACCAATGTTAATTTTATGTAATTGTTGCAGATCGATGGAGGTGGTGAAAGATGCTTTTTAAAATGCATATAAATAGTTTTTTTTGGAATGAACAAGGCTAGGCATTTATTTTCTAGATAAATACATCATTTACTTAAGGTTCTTCAAGTAAAATTGAAATGAGGACATCAAGTTGCAAAAATTTTGTTAATGGTGACATTAAAATTTAACTTAAATTATAGTTAACCATGCTTACTCCTGATTCATAATTTTTTCTCAATTTAATGTAAATTAGAATTGAATGTTTTCAAATTAAAAGTAAATTAAAGTAAAACTTCATAAGTTGAAGTTAATTTTATTCTTTATTATAATATTCATTCACAATAACTGATAAGATTTATATTGTAATGTATTAAGAAAGTTTAATTTGGATGATTGCTTTGAGGCAGTTATAAGTTTTGAAACTTTAAACCCAAATGAATATAATTCATCTAAAGAGATTTCAACTTAACTAATATTTTTTATGTCAATGATAACTTCTAAAGAATACATTCAAGTAGTAAGCTAAAGGCACCTCCTGTTCTATATAATTGGGACATTACATTTTAACAAAGACATTGACATTATAATGTGATTTTAATTATGTTTGTATGTGTACGTTTGGGAAGTGGATCCCTTCATTCCATCATTCTTCCAAGCTATATTGTTATTTTTAAACACTTTTTTTTCACAAAAAAACTGTGTAGCTTCACTTGATTGTTTAAAAGAAATATCAAAATGTGGAATAAATAAACACTTGTAATTCATATAAGTTTTGTTATGAAGAATTTAATCTTGAATTCAAAGTGAGTGTCAATTTAATAGTGTTAGCTGATACGCCTAAAATATATAGTATTTTTAGACACATTTTTATACTTATTTTTGAGATATTGTGCTTTAATGGAATGTATTTTTGTGTTTTTCTTTCAGGTACAGGTAAAAAGGTGAAAAATGCTTAAATGAGTGAAAAATGATCAAATTTGGAGCAAATAGGTGAAAAATATGCAAAAATGTTTTGGCGCCTAAGCACCAGATCTGACTCTTAAGCGCCGGTTAAACAGAGAAGACTGCACCTAAGCATTAGAGGACCCCCGCTTAAGCGGCAGTGGGACGATCT